ACTTGGAGACCTTGTGAGTGAATGCACTGCACACGCAGCTGACCTCCACATTGGCTCCCTCTCTGTTACGTGAGCGCCATCCCAGTTTAGAACAAACTGGTAGCGACTCAGCTGTTTAAAGGAAGGGGCGGCCCTAGCCGGTTTGGCTCGGTGGATAGAGCGTCGGCCTGGGGACTGACGGGTCCCAGGTTCGATTCTGGTCAAGGGCATGTACCTTGGTTGCGGGCATATCCCCAGTGCAGCAGGCGAGTGATGGATATTTCTCTCTCATTGATGTTTCCAACTCTCTATCCCTCTCCCTTCCTCTCTGTAAAAAATCAATAAAACATATATTTTAAATAAATGAAGGAAGGAAGGAAGGAGCAATGGTCCTTCCGCCCGGGGGATGGCTGTAGCAGCGGCAGCCGAGATGCAGCTGCAGAGAAGAGATGCTGGGCCGGATGGAGGTTGCGCTGCTTCAGTGACCGGGAACCGCAGGCCACAGGACTGTGATGTGGAACCATTTTTTGGGGTCGAAATACACCTATATTTTTATGGATGCATAGAAAAGCATCTGAGGGAATAACCAAAGTAGTTCTGCTTTTCCTGTGTGTACTCATTTTTTTATTAGAGAAACACATGGTTATGTAACCAAAAACCATAGTAATCAGAAAGAAATACTTAGTTTAAAAAATCCACCCTGTTCCTTGGGAGGCTCTGAGGAGTCACCACCCACGTGCTCCCCCTCCCCGTTCAGGACAGAATTCCTCTCTCTAAGGGGGCGGGAGGCGGCCAGGCCCTCAGGGAGGGCCCGTCCGTGTCTCTCCCACCGCTGCCTCTGAGCTAAGGTCCCCAGGGCCCCGCTGGCCGCTGTCAGGATTGGGGACAGCCTCGTCCACGTGTCTCCGCCAGCAGAGCGGCCCCGGATGGAGAAGAGGCCACGCTGGGCCTCAGGCCTCAGGCGGCATCGCTGACCCCCGCCGGCCGTCCCTCCGGAGGCCCCGGCTGCGGCTCTCGGGTGGGGCTCAAGGCTCGCGCTGCTGCCAGACCTCACAGCTGGGCTGCTGGCGGGAGGAGCTCTCTCAGGGCCCGAGCCCGAGCCCCACCAGCCAGGCTGCTAACTGGCCGCAGCGCAGGCTGTGGGCCAGTGACCAGGCAGAGGGAAGGTCTCCCAGGGAGATGGCATGTCCAGGCCAGGCTAGGGACCTGCTGGCTTCATGAGAGAGAGTGTGTGTGTGTGTGTGTGTGTGTGTGTGTGTGAACACATGTACACGTGTACATATTAGATAAAATCCGGGACACACATACATTTGAATTTCAGAAAAATGAATAGCTTTTCAGTGTAAGTATGTTGCCAATATTGCATGTTTACTTACTAACCCTGACAGGCCCGATGCATGGAAAGGTACGTGCAGGTGTGCTCATGCATGCTGTGTAAGAGTACACGTATGTATGTGTGCGTGAACCTGTGCACATATACTCCTGGGCGGTGTGTGTACCAGGTGCGGGTGGCGGTTTTAGGGCGGGTGTGAGCCCCATTTTTGGTCCCATTTTACCTGTAGGGGTATGTATAACGGTACCGGTGTGGACATGAACAGGTGTGCATCTACCTGTGTTTGCACCGAGCTCATGCAGTGCTCCATGAAGGAGTGTCTGTGTGTGCGCCTGCTACAGAGTCTGAGAGCAGGAGGAAGCCCAGCTCCCCGTGGGGAGCCGGGGCCGGCCCTGGCGAGGCTGGGTGTGCGTGCATATGTGTGTGTGCACCAGCTCCACCTCCTGCCCGGCAGCCCGGCCACACTCAGCCCATGACAGCCCTCCGCCAGGAGGCCCCTCTCCCATGCAGGAAGGACAGGCGGAGCGAGGCCCGGGCAACATCCTCGCCCGCTGTGCAGAGCTGCGGGCGCTCCCACGTGGCCACAGAAAAGCTGGCCAAAGCGCAGGCCAGATGTTGCTCTCTGCCGGTCCCCTCCCTTCTCCCTCCTCCCCCCGGAGCCAGATGGCTCGGATCCCAGAGTTCCTGCAGGTTTTGGCTCCTGCTGTCCCTTCCGCTGCCCCTTCGGACTTTTCCCAGAGGGAGCGGGCTGAGGCCGAGGACTGTGTCCCGGACCCATTGCCTGGGCTGGGAGTGGCTTCCCCTGGCTGGGGGTCAGGCCCGGGAGGGATCAGTGCAGACACCAGCGCCCCGGGCTCCTTGCTCAGCTCTCCCGCGCCGCCCAGAAGCCCCTGGGCAGGCGGCAGCCCGGTGCCCCAGTGTGCCCTCACTCACCGTGTGTCCCAGCCTCGGAGCCCTGCTCTTCCTGCCCTTCCTGCCGTGGCAGACAGCCAGCCCCGCCCCCTGCCCCCGCCTCCTGCCCCCGGGGTGTGCTCCCAGAGCCGCGAGCCAAGGGCAGCTGGTGCTTTCCTCAGGGGCTGGCTCCCTCCGGCCGGAGGCTGGGCGCCTGGGCGTGGGGGCCGCCCGCTCCTGGCCTCCCCGGCCGCCCCTGAGCTGGCGCCAGCTTCTCCCCTCGGGACCCCTGTCCCGCTGGCTCAGGGCCCACCCTTGACCTCATTTTCACCAGTCGCCCCTCGAAAGGCCCAGTGGCAGACACAGACCAATCCTGAGGTCGGGGGTCAGGGCTGCCACCTGTGAATTTGGGGAGGGAGACCCAGCTTACCCGTAACCCCACACCGGGCTGGGCCAGGGCTCCTCCCACTCGGCCGCCATCCCCGGACCCCACTCCCCGCTCTTTGGACAAGTGAGAGCTTTCCTGGCGGCCAAGTGGAGACCGCCTTCCCCCCAACTTCCCCCAACTGGCCCCCGAGGAGCCTGACCCCCGGGGGGCGCCTTCCCCCCAACTTAGAGAACCACTTTGGACAGGAGGGCCCGTTCTCGGCTGCTCTGCCCCCTCCTCACCCCTGGAACCCGCAGTTCAGGGAAGGCTCCCCATTCCTGGGGTGTGTGGTGTGGGGCCCCTGTCCCCCATGGGTGACGAGAGGCTGCCGGGCGGGAGGGTTCCAGAGCCCAGGTTGGCTGCTTGGCGTCGGCTCTGGGGGCCGGAGGTCACGGCCAGAGGCGGGCGGGCGGGTTGAGCCAGGCCCTGGAGCTGGTGTCTGCTCGCGCGAACACACCCCCAAGCCCAGGGGCTGCAAACAGCGCAGCACGGTCTTACCTGCCGTTGGGCGGGGAGGTGCGGGGGGAGGCCGGGTGGGGTCGGCTGCGGCCTGTGCCTGGTCTGGGGGCGCTGCACCTCTCGGCCCGCGGTTCTTCCTCCTCCAGCTGCCCGCCGCCGTGAGGACGGTGATGACGGCCCACCTGGCCGCCCGCTCCGGCGTGAGGTCAGCTGACCCGCAGGCTCCCCCCACCTGCCGCCGTGCTCCCGGCTGAGGCCTCGCAGCGCAGGGTCCAGGCTAAGGCTAAGGAGCGGGCGTGTCTGGGGGGCAGTTTTCTGTCTACCTCAGCCCCTCATCCGGCATCGGCTCCTCCCGGTCTGCGGGGAGGGGAGTCACTGCCCCCCGGATTCACCTGCAGCTGGCGGGTTCACCGCCGCCCCCTGCTGGCGGGGCAGGTTTCCAGCCGCAGCTGCCAGCTGGGAGCCTGGCTCTCACCCACCGGCACCACCTGGCTCCGCCCGCCCAGCCCTCACTGTGCTGGTGGGGCCTCCCCAGGGGCCGTGACCCTCCCCTGCTCCTCAGGGAGGGGCAGCAGCTGGGAAAGCCCAGGAGCCCGCTTCCCTGATCAGCTGCCACCATGGCCCACCTGGAAAGGGAGAATCAGTTTCCTGTTAACAGCGACTCCCCCCTCCCCCCCGTTAACAGAGACCACTCCCCCCGTTAATAGAGCCCCCTCCCCCTGTTAACCGGGACCCCTCCCCTCTGTTAACATTGCCCCTCCCCCCGTTAACAGAGCCCCCTCCCCCCGTTAACAGAGACCCCTCCCCCCTGTTAACCGGGACCCCTCCCCCATGTTAACAGAGCCCCCTGCCCCCGTTAACAGAGACCCCTCCCCCTGTTAACAGAGACCCCTCCCCCTGTTAACCGGGACCCCTCCCCTCTGTTAACATTGCCCCTCCCCCCGTTAACAGAGCCCCCTTCCCCCGTTAACAGAGCCCCCTCCCCCCTGTTAACCAGGACCCCTCCCCCTGTTAACAGAGACCCCTCCCCCTGTTAACAGAGACCCCTCCCCCTGTTAACATTGCCCCTCCCCCCGTTAACAGAGACCCCTCCCCCTGTTAACAGAGCCCCCCTCCATCCCCCCCTCCCTGTATTAACAGACTCTCCCGCCTGGAAACCCAAACCACACAAAGAAAAACCACGCGGGAGGATCCCCTTGCATGTCATCTGTATTGTCACATGAAATGCACATACATGACGTTGACGTGGAAACGACCTATTAGGTCACACGGAGTCCGGCCCCTGGGGGCCAAAGTGGCACCGATGCCCACGGGCCGGGGCGTTGCGCGGGCGTGGCTCCGGCGCCGGGAGAGGCCGGCGTCCCTCAGTCCTTCGGCTCCGGGCAGCGTCCCCCACAGGCGGCTCGGGGAAGCGGGGTTCCCCCGGGCCCCAGCCCTCCCGCGAGCGGAGGGCGCTGTGGTCAGACCAGCGAGGGAGCGAGGTCCACAGGCTCCACAGGAAGCTTGCAGGCCCGTCAGAGCCCTCGTGACACCGACACCTGTGACCGTCCGCCCCGGGCAGAGCAGGCCCGCGGCGATGTGACCACAAACCCTTCGCCTCCCCGGCCGGCGTCCGGCGGGCGCCTTTGGGCGGGGCGGCCCTGCGCCATCGATGACGAGGGGCGCCTGTGCTGGGTGCTGGGCGGGGGGTGTTTGCCAGGTCCTGTACGGTGTGGCCTGGTGGGCACCGCCAGGAGCTCAACAGTCACGGTGACGAGAGGACGGGACGAGGTCCCGCTGCCGTCTCCCTGGTTCTCACCGTCACCTGCAGAGCAGAGGCCGAGCAGGGCGTCCCCGGGGCCTGGCAGAGGGGCGGCCGCCAGCCGCAGCCGGGAGCCGGGGCGGCACGTCCCCCGCGGCCGGCCGGGAGGCTCACCAGGCGGAGATGAGCATCTGGCAGGTGTTGGAGGACATCCAGACCAGCTCCACCAGGCGGAACTGCAGGTAGCCGAGCGCGAAGCCCGAGACCACGTCCGTGACGTGGTGCCGCCCGATCATGACGCGGGACAGCCCCACGCAGAGGGCCCAGAGCACCAGCAGCACGCGCAGCGGCACGGCCAGCACCAGGTGGCTCAGGAAGAACTTGGACACCATGGCCGCGCGGCTGGCGTGGCCGGCGGGGAAGGCGTACACGTCCATGGTGAGGTAGTCCAGCAGCCCCGGGCTGGTGTCGAACGGGCCTCGCCGCTTGATGAGCTTCTGCATGCCGGCCACCGTCATGATGTCCAGGAGCAGGGCTGCGGGGAGACGGGCCCGGGGGCGGGGGTCAGTGCCCTGCCGCCTGGGGGTCCCCCTCCCGGCCTCCTCCTCCCCCAGCCACACGGGGCGCCAGCCACTCAGGGGCCAGCCCGCTCCCCCTCCACTGACTGCCCTGCCCTGGGATGTTCCCTTCTTCCCGCAGACAGGCCTCTCCTGACCACTGGCTTACCGAAGCCCCAGCCTCCACGCTGCCCCCTGCCCCCTGCTCTCACTCCCTGCCCTGTCCCCTGCCCCCTGCCCCCTGCTCTCACTCCCTGCCCTGTCCCCTGACCCTGCTCTCACTCCCTGCCTCCTGCCCCCTGCCCCCTGCTCTCACTCCCTGCCTCCTGCCCCCTGCCCCCTGCTCTCACTCCCTGCCCTGTCCCCTGCCCCCTGCCCCCTGCCCCCTGCCCCCTGCTCTCACTCCCTGCCTCCTGCCCCCTGCCCCCTGCTCTCACTCCCTGCCCTGTCCCCTGCCCCCTGCCCCCTGCCCCCTGCCCCCTGCTCTCACTCCCTGCCTCCTGTCCCCTTCCCTCTGCTCCCTGCTCCCCCCGTCCCCTGCCTTCCCACCCTCTCCTTGCCCCCTGCCCCCTGCCCCATTTTCCTTTGCAGCACCCCTCCCCGCCTGGCATGCCACCCATTGTCTCAGGAGCGCCTCCCATCTCTCCCCTCCAACGTGAGCTCCCAGGACAGGGCTGGGCGCGCTCGGGCTGGAGGCAGCCGGTAAAGCCGAGGCCTGAGAGAGTGGGATGGGGTCCCCCGGGCTCCGGGGAGGACCCGAGTTTGGCAGGCCGGGGAGGACGTTACCAGCCCCTTCTCTTTAAATATATTTTATCATCTCAGAGAGGAAGGGAGAGAGAGGGAGAGAGAAACATCAGTGATGAGCCAAAACCGGTTTGGCTCAATGGATAGAGCGTCAGCTTGGGGACTGAAAGGTCCCGGGTTCGATTCCGGTCAAGGGCATGTACCTTGGTTGCGGGCACATCCCCAGTAGGGGGTGTGCAAGAGGCAGCTGATCGATGACTCTCTCTCATGGATATTTCTAACTCTCTCTCTCCCTTCCTCTCTGTACAAAATCAATAAAAATATATTTAAAAAAAAAAAAGAAACATCAGTGATGAGAGAACCATGGGCCGGCTGCCTCCTGCAGGCCCCACACTGGGGATCGAGCCTGAAACCTGGGCCATGCCCTGACCGGAATCGAACCTGTGACCTCCTGGGTCGTAGGTTGGTGCTCAGCCGCTGAGCCCCGCTGGTGGGACCATGTCTTTAGTGGGAGGTGGAACTCACGGGACATACAACGGGCCTCTCAGTGCCCAATGCAGCGGCATCCGGCACGTTCACCAGTGTGAGCGCTGACTCTCCAGCCACAAAGCACTTCCTCCCCCAGAGCAGCCACCCCTCGGCCGCTCCGCCCGCCCCCCAGCCTGCTCTCCGTCTCTCCGACGGACCTACGAAGGGAGTGGGAGGCCCAAGACGGACGGTCATCACACCGGCGCGGGTGCGGCCAGGAATGGTGCGGGGCTGACCACTCAGGGCACTGCGCTGGGGCGGTGCTCCCCGAGAACATCCACAGATCTGACCCCCCAGAGGCAGCCCGTTCCCACAGAGGTTCTTGGGGTGTCAGTGTGGCCCGGCCTGGGCTGGTGTCTTGTGCTGGGAAGAGACGGGGGGCTAGGAGCAGTCATACGGAGCCCCTTCCCCTCACCACGCTGCCCTGGGCCGAGGGCTGTTGGAGGGAGAGGCACTCAGCCTGCAGCCGGCTCTCCAGCAGAACCCATGGGCTCCCAGCCCCCCGCCGCCCCCCTCCACTCCCCCGCAGGGCCCTCTCCCCACTCCAGCAGGGCAGCCGGCAGCCCCGCAGCCCGGCCCTGTGACCGTGATTCTGACACTGTCAGCGCCTAATCCGGGGCCCAGAAATAGCAGCAAATGGTGCCATCACTCAGGGCTCCGTGAAGGCCATTCACACGGCCCCGTCAGTCCCCGGCCTGCATTCCCCCCGGATTCCGAGGGAGCCCGTGGCCCCGTAGGGGAGGCCCGCCTGGAGGAAGCTCAGGGCCACGCTGTGTGACCGGGCAGGTCACTCAGCCTCTCTGGGCCTCCGCTCCCTGCAGTCAGCGAGGACGGAGCCCTGCACCGGGGCTCCAGAATCAGAGCTGCGTCAAGGTCGGCTGCTTGCAGATGGCATGACCTTGGCAGGGCCGTCCTCGGGAGCCTCCCTCCCTCCCTCGGTGAAAACGTGAGGATCGCCGAAGCGGCACCCTAAATGGCACCTGGGTGCAGGCTTGGCACCTCTCACTGAGGGGCGGGGGTGGGGGTGGGGGTGGGAAGGGCTGAGATGCCTGAACCCCCAGGTGAGAATCCTGACACCTGGCACCTGTCCCTGGGAGGGAGCAAAGATGAGGTTCCTTGCTGGTGAGGGGGGCAGGGTTGGGGGTGGGCTGGGCCTGGGAGGAGGGATCCTGGCTCTTCTGGCCTCAGGACTGACCCTGCCTCTCCCCTCCCCCCCACCCCGCTGGCTGCTGGAGGGGTGGGGACCGGCTGGAGGTGCTGGGGGGCGGGGTGAGCGCCCTCGGCTCTGGGCAGATGTCTCCCAGCGCTGAGAGGTCTGCCATCTGCAGGAATGTCCTCGGGATGAGGGACGCGCACCTGCTCAGGGTCCAGGATGGCCACCCAGTGCCCTTGAGTGGCTGAGTCCAGACCACGCTGCACTGGGGGGGGGCATGGGGAGGACGCAGCGTGGATATTTATAGCCCGAGAAGGACCGCCGGGGTTGGTCAGCGGGAAAGGCCAATTGCGAGCAGGACTTACAGTGGGGGCTATTTTTGCAAAAAGAAGATGCAAATGTGCTTATCTGCAGAGAGAGCCGGAGTGGCCGCACTGAATGTTCGCAGGGAGGGGCAGCGCCTGGCTGGGCGGCTGAGGCGATTTGTGTTGACTTCCTGTCACTCTGCATGAACGTGTTTTCTCACCGCCACTACACGGGGCTCGTACACATTTTAAACGTTACGGAATCTCACAGAGAGCACACATGGCAGGACTCCGCTTACAGGAGGCGCCTGGAAGGAGGGAATCCGTAGCATCGTCCGGGGAAGTGGGTCAGAGGGTGCCAGGGCTGGGGGAGGGGCAGAGTTGCAGTTGGGGAGAGGAGGAGGGTCTGGGGTGACAGGGGTGAATGCACTGAGCTGACCGGGGTCAAGGCCGCGGATGTGAGGTGCTGTGCGTGGCAGCACACATGTGAAAGCTCTCTTACCCCCGGGCCCCCCAGAAAGCCCGGCCCGGGGGCCGGCCGGGAGCAGAGAGCGGGCAGGAGGAGGCCCTGAGGGTCCGTCTTGTCCCCTAGCCAGGGCGTCTGAGCACTCCCACTGCTTGGCAGGTTTCTGCTTTCCCACCTGAAGGAGGTGGCTCTGTCTCTGCAGACTGTGGGGGTGCAGGAGAGTCAAAACCACGAGCCCAGAAGGCGGAGGGCACGTTGATTCCTCAGCGGAGTGCCAGACGCTGGACAGGGCTGTAGAGCGAGTGTGTGGGGGGGTGGGGAGAGACACTGAGCCCCGGGGCCTGCCCAGGCCCCTCCTCCCTCCACCTCGGGGTCTGCTGCAAGGGCAGCTGCTGGGCCCCGGCCTGGCTGGGGGTGGGAGGGTGGGGGGCACCCAAGGGCTGCCCTGAGGTGGTGAGAGAGGACTGGGTGGGCAGGAAGCATGCTCTACTCTGCAGAGCTGCTCCCGGGCACCGCGGTCTGTACGGCCGGCGGAGGGGCCAGTGGAGGGGCCGTCACCTAAGCCGCCGGGACACAGGGCCGGGGGGCGGCGGGTCTGCCAGCGGGAAGGAGTGCTGGGGCGGGTGGGGGGCGGGGACTGCCGCAGGGCTGAGGAGTCTGGTCTGGGTCCTGAGCCCCTCACGCATGAAGGGACATGGGCGGAGGGCATCACAGCAGGCCCGTCACTGGTGTGCGAACAGGCCGGGCGGGGCAGAGCGGGCCATGCCGGGGCCCACCTGCCGTGGAGGCCCTCGCTGCGGGCGGGGCCAGGGCCACGGCCACGCCTCACCAGCCACTCGGGCCGTTCGGTGCTGTTTCTGGCCATGACAACGTATCGCGGAAAGGGGCCCCACATCACAAGCTCACACCAAAACCGAGCCCGCTCACACCCCTCGGGACGGCTGGTCTGGAAGAGGGGGTGGCAGGTGCTGGCCAGGGCGTGGCGACGCGGGCGGGGGGCCCTGGGGCAGCTGCCACGGAAACGTGGGGCGGCCCCTCCACCAGCTAAACGTGGGGTCAGATGGTCCCGCTCCGGGGTCTGCCCCCGAGGAAGGCGAGGCCCTCCGAGGAGCTGTGTCCACAGCGGCAGTGTCCACAGCGGCCAGAAGGCAGAGCCACCAGAGGCCGCTGACAGAGGGTGGGTGAGCGCACTCGTGGTCCAGCCACAGGACAGAGGGCCACGCGCCTTAGAAGGCGGGAAACACGGACACGCGGGGAAGGTGGACCCGAGGACACGCTGAATAAAAGAAGTTGTCGCAAAAGGACACAGAACTAGGGGCTGCCACGCCCCTGCGGTCCCAGAGCGTCACTTCCCAGAGAGAAAGGAGACGGGGGGAGCCAGGCCCGGTGTCCTGCAGGCCCCCGAGGAGCCAGGACGGCGACCTGAGACGGCCTGGGCCACGGTCACCTGGCTCCCTCTGGGATCAGCAAGCAGGTGCTGAGGGGCCAGACAGGAGGGGGATCACAGGTCTAGAGCTGGCAGGGGACCCCGACTTCCTTTGGGAATGGTGGTGTGCGCATGAGGTGCCAGGCATTGCCACGCTAGCATTCCTGTGTGCTCAGCACTCGGTGTGTAATTCCTCAGTGAAGGCTCCCAGCAGCCCATTTCACAGATGAGCACAGTGAGGCTCAGAGAGGCTAAGTCACTGCCTGAGGTTGGGCAGCATGCCCTGAGGGGAGTACTGCAGCCCCGCTGGGACTCTGCCTAGGCCCTAAGGTGCCTCAGCCCCCTCCTCCCCCAGGGGCCGAGGGGAGCCCAGGTCCCAACTGCAGGCAGAGGCCTCTGCTCCCAGCCCAGGGGCCGCCCCCATTAATCTACTGGGTGCCCTGGGGTTGGAGTAGGCGGGCAGGACGGGGCAGGGCTCTCTCTCCTCTGGGCCCTGCAGCGCGTAACAGTGGATCAGCCATCCACTGGGCACATCCACGGGCCACTCACTATGCCAAGTGCTGTAGCCCCCAACGCCCCCCTCAGCCCTGAGCCCCACGGAGGTCAGGAAGCCGAGGCTCTGAGACAGGGACTCACCTGTCCAAGGTCACAGAGGAGCCAGGCTCGGGCAGGGCCTGGACCACACCCAGTCCCACTCAGAGCCTTGCTCTGGAGTTGAGAGACCCCAAGGCGCACCCCCAACCCCCCCCCCCAAAAAAAGACAGCAGAATCCTGCAGGCCAATGGCGCGGGGATGGCGAGGGTTTGCTGCCTGGAGGATCTGGGTTTGAGTCCCTGACCTGCCACACAGGGCTGCGTGGACTGGGCGAGTCCCTTACCCTGAGCCTCAGGGAGCGCACCTGCCAAGCGGTGTCTTCCCGTTTCCCTCAGGGGCCGTTCACAGGTTTTGGAGGCTCAGTGAGCGAAGGCTAAGGACTTCGCTGCACCTCCCGTGCCTCTGTTTCCCTCTTCAAACGGAAAACACCAATGGCTTCTGCCTCCTGGGGCTGAGGGAGGCCACGTGATGGCGTGGCTTATGGAGAAGTGGACACACAGCAGACACCAAGCACTGGACAGATTCCACCACCACCATCGGGCGGGACCGGGCAGGCAGGGCAGGGAGCGGGCTCCAGCACGCCCTGCATGCCCTTCCAGACACCAGGCACCGAGTTCCCTGCTCCGAGTGAGGCTGCGGACAAGGAGAGCAGGGTGCTGCCCCAGACCCCCCTCCTGGCGCCTCAGCCACTTGCCCTGCACCTTCCCTCCCGAGCCCGTGGCCCGGCGCCCAACAGCACAGGCCTGGTCGCGGGCGGCCCTGGTGCAAACCCAGCTCTGAGCCTGAGTCAGGCTTCCTCTAGAGGGGCCTCAGTTTCCTCACCTGTGAAGTGGGAACGATCCCAGTGCCAGTCACGTGGGACTGCTTATTCGGGATAAACATCGAGCAATGGAATGACTTAGTCATAAGAACGAGAAGACACTGATGACGCCTCACCCACCGGCCCCTTCACGAACCACCTGCCCCACGTCCCACCCACAGCGCGTCCACCCGGACTCTGAGGCCTCGGACACACGCTTTCACCCCGGCTTCCTCGGGGACCGGTTCTCAGGGGTCTGGCCCGTCCCCTTTGGGAACTGGGCCCTCGTCGGTGTCGGTTTAACCTGGGAGGGGCGAGGGACAGACATGGCTCAGAGTGGGGGCGGGAGGTGCTGGGAGGGTGGCCGGCTGGGGGTGAGGGCCCGCCTTCCACAGGGGTCCCCCAGGGGCGCCGGCCCAGAGCAGGCTGAACAGAAGACGTTGTTAAAACAAACCAAAGACCAGCTCACAGGCCCCTCCCCGGCCCCTCCCCTGGGAAGCACCCCTAGATCCCATGGGGTCATCTCAGGCAGCTGGTAGGATCTCAGGGGGGCAGGCAGGGGAGTGGGGGGGCAGCTCCCAGTGCTGCCTGCAAGCAGCCCACAAACTCAGGGACCCCCACCTGTGGGGGGGTGTTACAGATGAGACGCTCCATCCAAAACCCCCACCAGCCCGACTACCTGCCTCGAGGCCGCAGCCTCCAGTGCACCCCCCCCACCCCCCGCTATCTCTGGGCCGTGGTTCCCAGTGCCCCCCACCCCCCTTTGCAGGGCCCTCACCTGCGCATCCCTGGCTCTCCCCCCGCCCCCCCCCAGCTCGTCTGTTTCTGGGGCGCCCTCCCTGCCTAACCTCATTCGGCCGCTCCTGTTTGGAGGTCCCGCCGGGCGGCAGGGTGGGGGGGACGGGCGGGGGGTGGCGGGCGGCAGGGTGGGGGGGGTGGGCGGCGGGCGGCAGGGTGGGGGGGGTGGGCGGCGGGCGGGGGGTGGCGGGGGCGGGTGGGACGGGCGGGGGGTGGCGGGCGGCAGGGTGGGTGGGGCGGGCGGGGGGTGGCGGGCGGCAGGGTGGGTGGGGTGGGCGGCGGGCGGCAGGGTGGGTGGGGCGGGCGGCGGGCGGCAGGGTGGGGGGGACGGGCGGGGGGTGGCGGGGGCGGGCGGCGGGCGGCAGGGTGGGTGGGGCGGGCGGCGGGCGGCAGGGTGGGTGGGGCGGGCGGCGGGCGGCAGGGCGGGGGGTGGCGGGGGCGGGCGGCGGGCGGCGGGCGGCAGGGTGGGTGGGGCGGGCGGCGGGGGCGGGCAGCGGGGGGCACACTCACCCAGGAGCAGGTTCAGGAGCACCTCCTGGCCGGCCAGCGTGCTGCTCTTCACCAGGCAGAGGATGGTGCCGCCGATCCAGGGGACGCCGTGGCCGGTGACGCCGATGAGCTTGATGATGGAGCGGGCGCTGGCCCAGGACGCGGCCCGGCCGGCGCACACGCCCAGCCGCTTGGACATGCAGATGTCGATGGCCAGCAGGGAGCTGAAGGCGATGCCCTTGAAGGAGGGGTTCAGCTGCATGCAGTCCTCCTCGGGCAGCTGCTGGGACTGGCGCCGCTCCCGGGCCCCGTCGCCGGGCGGCGGGGGCTGCGCCGAGGGCCCCGAGCCCTTCCTAGCCGAGCTGCCGCGGGGCTCCGGGACCCCCTTGGGGGGCTGGTTCAGGGACAGGAACTCCGCCCGGTTGAGGATGTTGTTGCGGTCCCGGGCCCGGGCCCGGCTCTGGGAGCCTGGCATGGTGACGCCGGCGCGGCGAGGGCCGGTGCCGGGCCTGCGGCGAGGGCTTCTCCCCGAGGCGCGCTGCCCCGAGCGGCACCTCCCGGCGGCCGGCCCCGCGGTTAAATATAGAGCGGGGCACCGCACATGCTGTTTACCTCCGCTGCCACCGGCTCTGGGCGGCAGTGCCAGCGGGGCAGCCAATGGAGCCACCGGAGAGGCGGGGAGCCCACAGCTGCGGGCCTGCCTGGGCCTGGGCTATTTAAATCTCCCAATGGCTCGCTCCCGGGCTGAGGGGGACTCTGGGAAATGTAGTCCTGCTGCCCCGGCCTCAGCTGGCCAGGCCAGAGGCCCCAGGGTGGGCTGCGGACCAAGCCCCGCCTTCCCCGCTTCCCTCCGAGCCTCCAGGCCCCTGCGAGCCAGGCTCCCTCTGGCCGGGCAGCCTGGACCTGGTCCCACGGGCTGGGCAGCGAGCGCAGGCTGAGGGCCTCGGCACCGATGGAGCGAGTGACATCACGGGAGCATCATCGCGGCCTCTGGGCCAGGCCCCTCCCGCTGAGGCAGCCGCTCGTTAAGGGACAGGCAGGCCTTTTTAAAAAAAAATTTTTTTAATCGGTCTTGAAGCCGGCTTCAGTGCGATGGATGGCAGGGAGGCTTGGTTTCCGTGCAAGGGAGGGAGGGAGGGAGTTAGTTCACTGGCTGGGAGTGGATCTGCCCGGGGAGGCTGCCTCCATCGCGGCGTTTTGTAGTCAGGTGATCAAGGGCTTCTCACCTGTCTCCTTTCCAATTACGGGAATATTTACAACCACCAAGTATGACTTTAACAACCAGAACCACACATTAAACAAACTGCATCTATGTATATCATATATATGTATGGATGGATGGATGTATATGGTATATATGGATGTATATATATGTATATATATATATATGCTCACACATATCAATATGCATTTAAAAATATGTTATATGCCCTTAAAAAAGTAACCTCCCATTTCCACTTAACAAATATAAACCTGGCCATGTTTCCATGACAACCGATCATCTTTCCAAGGCTGTCTGTCGTGAGGATGGGCCGTGGTTTGTCTGTTATTGGACACGTAGGTTGTTTCCATCCTGTGACCATTCAACGCTGTTCTGGCACGGCCACCCTCGTGCACGCGTCCCGTGCACTGAGGCAGAACATAAAGAAGCAGTTCACGTGGAAAGTGCAAAATCAGCCCGTGCTCAGCTCTGACTGGTGTGGCTCAGTGGGTAGAGCGTCGGCCTGCAGACTGAAGAGTCCGAGTTCGATTCCCGGTCGGGGCACATGCCGGGGTTGCAGGCTCGATTCCCAGCAGGAGCGTGCAGGAGGTAGCCAATCAATGCTTCTCTCCCATCATTGATGTTTCTCTCTCTCCCTCTCCCTTCCTCTCTGAAACAACACAGCGTGCTCAGATGCTCAGATGGTCAGATGCACCCCGCTGAGCCTGACACTGCACTGCCCTGATTCGGGAGCACACGGCCGGGATGTGGATACTTCGGGCTGACACGTCCAGTCACACGTGTCCCATGTCAGAGGTGACCAAGAGCACATGAGGGTGGTGACATCACCTGTGAGGCTGCACCGCTGGGGAAGGTCAGAGCGGGGCCTGGGCTGCCTGGTCCCTGCCTGCATGTCACCCACCTGTAACTCACTTGCTCACTCACGGAACAACTTTTTAAAACTTTTTATTTTATTTTATTGATTTTTTACAGAGAGGAAGAGAGGGATAGAGAGTTAGAGACATTGATGAGAGAGAAATATTGATCAGCTGTCTCCTGGGCACCCCCCACTGGGGATGTGCCCACAACCAAGGTACATGCTATTGACTGGAATCGAACCCGGGCCGACGCTCTATCCACTGAACCAAACCCGTTAGGGGCAGTTTTTAATTTTTTAACTATATTTTTATTGATTTCAGAGAGGAAGGGAGAGGGAGAGAGAGAAACATCAATGATGAGAGAAAATCAACAAGCAGCTGCCTTTTTGCAATAAAAATTAAAAAACAAACAAACATGTATTGAGCGAATGGCTGTTTGATTTTGGAGTCAAGGCTTTGGACAAACCTCGGTGGGCTCCCTGGAGGCCATTTGGGGATCGTCCCAGAGGAAAGGGGAGGGCAGTGGGTGAGCCGCTCCCCTCCGGCAGAGGCCTGTGGTCACGCACAGAAGGCGGGTGGGTGGGAGGACCCAGCAGGGTCCCCTGCCAGGTGGGGAGGGAGCCCCCTAATAAGCATGTCTCATCACCGCCTCCCATCCCGGGCGCTCCCCGTGGCTCTCAGCTGCCTCTCTCAGGCTGCTCGGAGTTATTTTGGTCGGAAACCTGATCCCTCGCCGGTTTATTTTAGCACCTTGGAGAACTCCCAGGCGGGCACCCAGCCCGCCCACTCCCTTCGCCCTTCCCGGGTGGCGGGGCGGGGCACGTGGGGGTGCGGAGCGCAGGGCGTGTGTGTGTGTGTGTGTGTGTGTGTGTGTGTGTGTGTCCTCCCACGCGGCCTGCACAAGGCTCGTCACCTCCACGAGGCTGGGGTTGGGGGAGTGGCCAGAGGGGCGCCTGTGCACATTCAGCTCCTGCCGCCTGACCTTGGGGCGCCGCTGGGTCAGCTCCTCCTCTGGGGACAACGATCGTGGGAGGAGAGGGCGTTTCACGCTCAGAACTGCAGCTCTGGAGACGCCGCTGGGCAGCCGGGCGGAGGGACAGAGAGTCCCGAGGTCGGAGGGGAGAGTCCCAGGGGACCGCCCTGTGCACCAGGCCAGACGAGCCACCCTCACCAGCTCCCACCAGCATGGGATCTCCATCCAGCAGGCACACACACACACACACACACACACTCTCATGGGCACTTACACTTACTCCAACACACTCCACACATAGTTACACACAACTGTCAACTGTCACATACACACACACTCTCACACCATCATTCACTCACACACATGCATTCACTCCAACCTCCTCTAATCGCTCACTCGGCCCCTGGACCAGGCATCCGTCATCCCCCACCGGCCCCCGAGCTCGACACTGGACACAAGCGCATCAAACAACGGACGCCTGCATGACACGTCCTGCGTGTAGCCATGGACACGGACTCAGAACTGTTCGAGCATGAGTTGGTGCCTTTTGCTGTTTCTGTTAGTGAGCGCCTCTGTGCACCATGCCGAGTCATCCCTGGGGGCCTCTCTGGCCCCTGGGGATGCCAGCGCCTGGGGACCACTCTGGTCATCTGTCCTGGCCCTGCCAGTGTCCCGTGTCTCCTGAGGGCCCAGCGCAGAGCAGGCACCCAGCAACACTGGGCAGATGCCGGGGGCGGAGGGACCTGGTCCCACTGATAACACGCTTGTACCAGGTGCCACCCGGAGTTCCCCATCTCTGGAGGGGCCGGGCTGTGCCCTCTGACCCCTGCTCTCCCCCTTGACTGGTGATGTCACTGCAGAGGAGTCTGGGGGGCCTGGGGCCAGGGGAGGGGGGCACTGTGAGTGCCCCTGTGGCCTTGGGCACCTCTCGGACAAAGGTCCCCGTCCTGTTCTGCAGATGCCAGCAGTTCCCGCGCCTTTTTTAAGGGCATATAAGGGCCTTCCGCAGGTGCTGAGACAGCCGCGGGTCTGCGCCCAGCACCCACAGAGCTGCAGGAAATGCTGAGCAGGAAGAAGGGCTGTGTGGGGATGTGGGGTGGGGGTGGGGGACGAGGAGGTGGTAGGGGGCTGGGGAAGCAGCCAGAACCAGGGGATGCACATGTGAGCTGAGCCTTTCAGCCCCTCTGGCTGTCAGAGCTGGCCTTGGGGGAGCCTGTCGATGCCCAGAGCCAGGCCGACGGGCCCACGGACACTGCCTGGGCCACCTCCCTGCACAGCTCTAAGGCGGGATGAGGAAGGGGAGGCTCTGGGGCCGAGGCCAAGGGGTCTTTGAAATTGTCCTCACTCTCTTCCCGTGCGACTCTCCGGGACAAAGCTTTCCAGAACCAGTTCCTTCCTGGCTCAGGGGGGCGGAGGCGGCGGGGAGGAGGGGTGAGCGGGCTTTAGGCTCGGTCAGATCTGGGCGGGGATTCAGACTTGAAAACGCCACTGTCCCCTGACCCCCTAGGTCTGTCTGTCTGTACAGCCCGCCTCCTGGGGTCCAGGTGAAGGATACAGGAGAGAATGCTCGCTCAGGCAGCACCTAACACACAGTGGGGGCTTTATCATGATCATCACAAGCCCAGGCCAAGACCAGGGCCACAGGGAGTAACATCACTTCCAACGGGCACCCCGGGAAAATCATCTTCGGGGCCCTGACCCCTTCGTGAGCAGGTCAGGGCCCCGGCTCTGTCCTTCTTATGTCAACACGGAGAGACGCGCAGCTCAGCATGTGTTCACAGCGCACACACATCCTGGTCACCAGGACAGTGCCCGCCATGAGGGGCGTCCTGGCCAGGGAGGTGTGCTCCGCCCCAGGCCCTGGGGCTGGTGTGGGAGATGCGATGGAGACCCCGAAGGCTCATATGTGTGAACCGTTCAGCACAGTAATGATGTGATGACGAAGGAGGCGTGGACGCTGCAGTGAGCCCCAGGGGTAGAATGTTCTGTGGAGGCCTCGGTGCAGGGCAGGGCGAGGCTGCCGTGGGCTGGGCAGCCAGGGGAGCTCCCTCCGGGAACCGGGAGTGCACACAGCCCTCAGGAGACCTCTGCTGCCAGGTGCTGCCTTCTGGCAGGAAGCAGGTCTCAGGGGTGGGATGAGCTGACCTGCAGAGGGCCCACCCCTCGCTGGGCTGGGGGAGGCCCGTGGCAGTGAGCAGGTGGGAGCGGGTGCGGCTGGGTATAGCTAGACACTTCCTGTGGTGTGTCTAGGTGAAGGATGCAAGAAGAATGCTGCTGCTATTTGGAGTCAGAGTTTGGGGACAGGAAACAGCTCTAATGTGGCTGCAAGGTTTTCCGATGTCACAAACCACCCGCGCTCTCCCTAGGGTGGCTGCAAGGTGAGGGCGAGGTTAACGGTGTGAGGTGTTTAGAGAGGATCCAGG